GATTCCGAAGTCAGCAGTTGTCTATTGGAGTGATAGCGTGGATGTCCTCTGCTGGATTCGCAACCCCAGTCGCATCCACAAGCCATTTGTCGCGCATCGTATCGGGGAGATACAGCTGGCAATGCAACCAGAACAGTGGCGCTACGTGCCAACGAAGTGCAACCCAGCAGACCTCGCGTCCCGTGGAACCTCAGTAACCAGCCTCATCACCAGCCAGCTGTGGTGGGAGGGACCGCAATTTCTGCAGCAAGAGCAATCGACGTGGCCACCAGCACCGGCACAGCTTTCATTGACGGACAATGCGAAGCAAGAAGTGAAGAAGGACCATCGGGCTACGGCATCACAGAGCCAACAACAGCAGACGTTCACAGGCAGCATCACTGCCGCCGACTTGGGACGCTTGGACCCGTCTCGCTATTCCGAGTTTAATCGACTCCTACACGTCACAGCCTGGGTGTTCCGGTTTATCCAGAATTGTCGCACACCGGCCAGCAAGTTAGTGACGTCCACGCTGACGGCAGATGAGCTGAAGGACGCAAGAACGTACCACTGCAGAACAGCACAGCAACAAGCGCTTGAGTACAACACCGTGAGGCAGAAGAACTCACTGCCCAAGGCCAGCAGTCTGAGGCAGTTCCAGCCGTTAATCGATGCGGACGGGTTGATGCGGGTTGGTGGTCGTCTTCAACATGCCGAATTTCTATCGTTCGACCAGCAGTGCCCGATAATACTGCCAAAGGGACACCGAATCACGCAACTCATCATCAAGTCGTACCATGATCGCGGTAATCATACATGCGGCGTCAATCACATGCTATCGGAGCTATCAAATCAGTACTGGTTGCTCGGTGGGCGTGACAAGATTCGTTCCTGTGAGTCCAACTGTGCCAGATGCAAGCTACGAAAAACATCGACAGCAGAACAGGTAATGGCTCCCTTGCCGAAGGTACGAGTCAGCCTGCCGCTACGAGCCTTCGCACGAGTCGCAGTGGACTACGCTGGGCCATTTACAACAAAGCAAGGACGAGGCAAGACCCGAGCCAAGAGGTACCTCTGTCTGTTCGCTTGCCATCTGACATGTGCCGTTCACTTGGAGCTAGCGTACGGTCTCGACGTGGACTCGTTCCTCCAAGCGTATCATCGCTTCACCAACCGGAGAGGAACGCCATTGGAAGTCACATCCGACAATGGAACAACCTTTGTGGGCGCCAAAAATGAGCTCCGTGAGTTGGCAAAGGCGCTAGATGTCGACAAGCTCCAGCAAAGCATGGCGCAAGAAGGCACACGTTGGCACTTCAACCCACCTAGTGGACCGCACTTTGGTGGCGCACACGAAGCACTGATCAAGGTAGCGAAACGAGCTTTGTCTGCCACACTCAGCAACCGCGATACGACTGACGAGGAGTTGTACACCGCCATTACCGGTGCTGAAGCGCTGATGAACTCCCGCCCATTGGGATACCAGTCAGCCAACCCACGTGATCCGTTACCGCTAACGCCGAACCATTTCTTGCATGGGCAGCAGGGCATGCCATTCGTCCCAGCTGGCACTGACGGGACGCAATGGACACTCAAACAGCGATGGCGGATGGTCCAGTACATCGTACTTCAATTCTGGCGCCGCTGGATGAAGGAAATTGTGCCAGAGCTGAACCGTCGCAAGAAGTGGGCTCAGACCAAGCCAGGTCTCACCGTCGGAGATGTTGTGCTAGTCGTGTCACCAGACATTGCACGAGGAGAGTGGCCACTAGCAAGAGTGGCGGAAGTGTACCCAGGCAGTGATGGGCATGTTCGAGTCGTGAAGATCAAGGTCCGAGGAAAGTATCTGACACGGCCTATCACTCGACTGTGCCGTATTGACGCGGAGTGAGCAGTAAGAGAATTAAGTCAAAGTGTGTATGAATATTCGACAACGCATTGCTCGTTTGCTCCTTATGTTCGGAGTGTTTTTCATGATTGTTTGTTGTCATCGTAGTGCAGTTTAGCCTATGCACCCGTTTGCATGTTGTCAAGCAGTATGCTATTTTGATTCGCGTAGTGCATGAGTTAGTTGCTATTTATTTATTGATGCTATCGTTGAGCTGGCATGTTGCGCTTTAAGGTCAATCCCAGCAGCAAGCAGTATTGGATTGAAGAAGGGGAGAGATGTTCAGGACTCACCTTCACTACAATGCAATATTTGCCATTATGCCAGATTACGCTGGCACTTGCAGTGCACTAATTATTTCTTGTTTCTATATGCTTGAGTTGTATCTGTCGCGTATCTTTCTTGGCTCGATATGAGTCCGTTTATAGCTGTAGCCATCCCAGCCGGCAGTGGGTCGCACGGGTTCATGACCTTTACGTTTCCGGCGTTTGTACATTTCTGTTGTACCAGCGCTGCTGCTAATTTGTCGTAGGTTGCGCATATGGCCCTGCATGTGCCGTTCGCGCGGCGTTTTCTTTGCTTTTGTATTTGCTGTTTCTCCCTGCTTGGGGGAGTTGTGGTGAGAGAGAAACAGAGTGAAATGGAAGAAAGAAGTTGTTTGGAGTTTGTCGTAGAACTACTAGAAATAGCATAAGCGTGATTCCGCCACGCAGTTCATATTCGGAACAAGAGGCGCAAACAATATCTGTCAACGGAAGTGTCCTTGCTGTGCTGTCGTGTTTATGCTTCGTGCATTAGTTCGGCCAAGAGCGCATGGTGGTGGCGGGTTGAGGATGGAGTACAGCGGAGTATGACCGAAAGCTCGGTCACAATGTATTTTATAAGAAAGGTATAGAAACAGAAAAAAACTATCTTGATCTTGGGCGGAAACAGCCCGTCTCACATTAAATATACTAGAAAATAGTTCACTTTGAACATGCAGTCTTCCTAAGAGAGAGAGAGGGGGGGGGTATATTCATAGGTTCGAAAGAACCGCACACACACTTTGCTGCAGACAGCGGCAAGCTTTGGCCCTCGTACTTCGAAGAGGGAGCAATCCACTGCGCTACACTTGCGATTAACAGCAAGCTTCGACCTTTCAAAGGTACGACTCATCACTGGCTCTGTGGTAATGTTCCTGGAACAAACGCCCCATTGCCGACTGAGGGCCAGGGAGCACGCAATCTGCCTTCCTGGGCGAGAAGTGTTCCAGCACAAGAAGCAGCACGAATACATGCTGACAAAGACCACCATCACCAACAGCCGGCACACAGCACACTGTTCTTCAAACACCATCCACTCCTTCCATGTGTTTGCACTGTCCTCCTCTAGCTCTTCACGCTTAACAAATACCACGCACTGCTCATCGTTTTTTTAATGCTTCCTCTGGGTTGGCTAGCCCTTCGACTTGACAAAACAGCGATCACCACTGCTATCGGCACCTCATAGCAGTCGCTTCCACCAGTGGCTTTTCCTGTCTTTGCAAGGTGTCCAAGGATGGCTGCTGTTGTCACTACGGGCAAATCAGAAGAACTTTAGTGGCTGATGTCCAACCAGATCGTTGGAAAATCGATTTTTCCACTTCAGGGCTGCTGATCGCGATCGCGACTTGGTGACTTGGCAGCACCACGGTTACCTTCATAGAAGATGGCTCTGGAGAGGAAAAGGCAGACCAGAAAAAGGTTACTATTATCTTCAGCACCGATCTCAAGGAGAAAGAAATACGGTCTGCTGTAGCCTAGGCACAACAATAAGTCTCACAACACGATTCGCGATTCAAATATTTCAACAACAAAAAACTCACCTCTGGAGTAACTCCTGTTTGTGGGCCGAGATCGTTCCCTCCCGCGCCTTGACAAAATCCTGCAGCTGCATCACAGTCCATGTCTCTCTCGGAGACTCTGCTCCTACCAGCAGGAGGTTCAGCACCGCTCGAAGCCATCGCAAACCACTTGAACTAAGCAGAAGACATTCCAAAACAAACCTGAAACAAACTGTCAAAGATGCTGTCACGTTCAAAAACTAACTCGATCGCGAGTGAGGTTGCCCCCGTGCTCGAACCCAGTATAATAAGGAGATCGGTCTATTGGCAGGCAAAGTGCGAGAGAGGGGTGATAGCCAACCATGGCAAGAAAAGGAAAGAATAAGGAAAAATTCAACTCGGATGGTGATCCTACCCATTACGGTGAAAAAGGAGAAGGGAAAAATGTTACGAATTTTGACTAACTGTCCATCAACGTGACCAGATCTTATAAGGTCAGCGATTGCGACAAAATTGCACATAACTGACCAGGAGTACTGGGACATTCGGAGACCTGACACATAGCTCCAACACTTCTCCAAGTATTTTGACTCCGCCATATCACTGATGCATCATTGATTGATTGATTGATTGATTGATTTTTATTTCACGGATCCTCCAGAGGCAAATAGATGCCTATCGAAGGGAGTCTCCTAAGTAAGTATGGAAAATGAGAAAGTTTGTTCGTAAGGGAGAAGAGGTAGAAGATACATTAGAATATAGAGTACAGAAGAAGTAAATTCAGTACTACCGGTAGTACATTGCATGCTAATCATAATGAGAATTAGAAAAGCAGCATTGCGGACTACTATAACTGATATATACACAAACTATTGAAACTATCATAGATGTGGTTAGCCTAGACACAAAATTCAGGAATACCTTTCAAAGAAAACATAGATTGCGAATGATACCGACGAACAGCAATACTAAATTTCGCTGTTGTAGAGAGTGAACGAATATCTTCAGGAAGTTTATTCCAGGCAACACTCAAAGAAAAAGGGTTGATTTACGAAAGAAGGTGCCAGCTTTAGGAAGAATTATGGATGAAGGTTGACGGCTGCTTTGGGAAGAGGGTAGCTGGAAATGAGACAACAAGGAGGGGTGTTGGGAGAATACATGGTGGAAATAGACAAGGCCAAGAATCTGCCGTCGCCATGCTAAAGATTCCCAAGAGCATCATGCATGGTATACGCTATATGCACTGTGTGCTATTTACGGTCTACGCTGTCATTTGCATGCTTTACATATCCGGTCATCTTAGATTGAGTTATTATGTTCGATCAAGTGAAGTATACCATTAAGAAAAAGCAGTTGTCCTCGTGCCGTGTGCTCTTTCGTTCCTGACACTTACGAGATTCAGAGGCTTCATAATAAAGCATTTTACACACAGCGTCTACAACTGTTTCCTTCAATCAGTGCAGCAGATAATAATACTCACAGATAATCGAGGTTTGTTCATCACGTATCCAGCAGTACTCTATATACACACAGTTATAAGTACTGATCCCTGCGTTCAGTGGTGCAGTTGATAATACTTACAGTGTTTGGAGGTTTGTTAGACCAGAGAACACACCGTCACTTAAAGTCTGGATCTGATTACTGCTCAAATATCTACAAACGACAAAGCACAAAGACAATGTTGTTCTTGCTTAGTCCCGGGTAGTGCACAAAACACCGAGTCTGGGATATCGTAGTTCTAATCTAAAAGACCGAATCATGACCTTGTTTTCAGAAATAACCTAGGCTCCTAACCACAACATGATTCATATGCAATTGGGTTAGGTACTGGCCAACCACCAAATTCTCTATACCTTGACAAGACATGCAGAATCCATGGATTTCTCTCAAAATCCCTGAATGGCTCGAAAAGAAGACAAAAAGCGGTTTTGCCGCCAAAAAAAATGTTCGACAGCATAGACTGCAGGTCTGCTTACAGCACGGTTCCACTCTGCAGTGCGGTTCGATCATTTGGCGCCCGCGCCTGCCAGTGCAAATCTTGCAGGCTAGGCTGGTCAGGTCTTGAAAGTGCCATGCACAGTTCGAAGTGCAAGTGGGCACCGTAATATTTTGAAGAAGAAAGAACGGGACATTCGAGGTGAATCCATGCAGCGTTCAGGAACATTCTGTATCAGACAAAAATGGGACTTTACTGGGAGTTTGTTTCAAATCAATCAGAACAATATCAAGCCTTCGGTGCTCAATGAAGCGATCCCACCAGATGGTGAAATTCCACAGAATCTTAATCTTCTAGTCCTGCGAAGATGTTGGCGTCCGAAGTATCTATAGCTTCAGGCACGTTACCCGCGGGTGCATGATGCTCTTGGACCGGCCACAGTGGTGGTTGTAGTACTCGTCTTCACAATGCAAGTCGCAACTCCTGTACACGCGGAGGCCAGCCGATAATGGTGCTCCAAGTAATCCCATCCAGCGAGCTTTGAACACTCGCATAGGATATGGGCAACCGACTCGCCTTCCTTCCTACACATTCCAGACAGAGGTCTTCTGCCCTGATGGAAGATTTGGGCCTTGAGCAGGTTAGTTGCCAAGGCCTGGTGTTGTGTCGCGATGATCAGGCTCTCTGTGATCTTCTTGAGACTTGCGACTGATGTACATACGGGCTACATCAGCGAGTGGATGGAGAAATCCATGCATAGTCATAAGCTTGCGCGTTCTTCGGTCAGCAGATTTCAACTCGTCCTGCGTCCATGCCAATATACCAGCACTATACCATATCAAAGCCACAGCCCAGGTGTTGATTCCTCTTCTGATGTTGTGGCCTTAAAGAGCTGAACGGAGTAGTCGTATGAGGCAGATGACGAACAGCAGTGGGAATATGGAGTCCCCTCGAAATACCCATGCTGAATGGCCGCCAATTTCAAGTTGTTGGTGCCGTTCCAACGGTCCACCTTCCACTGAGCCATGCTAACAGTCATAAGTCTGCGTACGGGTTCTTGCATGCCAAACAGGTCTTTCATTTTTACGATTAGACCATATATGACATCAGCCACGGGACCCTACATATATTATGACATCAGACACTGGATTCTACATATATTGTGACATCAGACACTGGACTCTACTCTCTCTGGACTCTTCGCTACCGGACCGCAAATGTGGAAGACCGTGCCCGGTTGGATGTCGCTGCCAATGGTTTGTGGGGCAGTCGTTTTGAGCGTACACTTATTGATATACGGGTTTTTAATCCTCACTCACGCTCAAATCGATCTGCACCACATACTGTTGTGTATCAGCGACATGAAAAAGAAAAGAGAAGGCACTATGAGGAGCGGGTGAGGCAGGTTCAGCAAGCCTCCTTTGTTCCGGCGGTCATGTCAGCCAGTGGCGGAATGGGTCCAGCATCAACAGCGCTGTATAAACGAATTGCTCATCTGTTGGCTGAGAAGAGGGGTGAGCATTACTCTCATGTTATGGCATTTGTTAGATGCAGGATTTCCTTCAGCCTTCTGAAATCCTGTATCATGTGCATTCGCGGTTGTAGGCGTTTAAATTTTGGTTTGAAATTTGCACCCTCCTGCGGAGCCCACGCTGATTTGGCAGTGGCGGAGGCTCGCTTGCCGACGTAACCGTCGGAGATCATCATGAACAATGGACTGACTAATTATTCACTTGTCCTGTCTTTCTAAATAACATGTTATTGCACATGTTCTTGGTTTAGTTTTTGGCCTTTTTCGTGCTTTGGAGTTAATAACATTTTCCTCAACTGGTCATTTCTACGCCCAGGCAACTCCCCAACTGTTGACGACGCAGTCGATCGATTTTCAATCGTCCTGGAACAAACCTTCCAGCACCACCTCGCTGATTTTTCCACCCATTCTTGTCGGCCAAACACACGCACATCGTCTGTGACATCCAATCCACCCTGGGTGTCGACTGTCCTCGTATCTGCGGTGAAACGTAAACGAGACCTCTTCAGTGTCAGCCGAAAATTTCCAACACCTGTCAATATGGAGGTCTACCGAGTTCAACGCAACTTTGTCAAATACCTATCCCGTAAAACCTACCGCTCTTACATCAGCTCCCTCTCTGCAACAATATCATCACCCAATCGTCCTTCTCTCTATCAGTTCATTCGCCCCCAGCGTCCCAGTGTCTCTCGCGCCCCAATCCAGTGCTTGATTGATCCTGATGGCAACAGTCAATCTGAGGCAAAGTCCATTGCGGACACTCTGAACAAACAGTTTGTCTCTCCCGGCCTTCCCGACGATCCGAACTGGGTTATCCCGCCCCTGCACCCAGCTCCAGAGCTGCGCGCTCCACTTCTGGAGGTCTTTACAACAACTGGTGTGGTCCGCAAACAACTGAAACGTCTTAAGAGCTGCAAGTCTCCTGGAAAAGACGGTATTCCAAATGAAGTCCTTAAAGTGCTGGTGCCTTCCTTGTCGTATCCCCTGTGCTTGCTATTTATTTTTTTATTTTATTTTTTATACGAAAGTCCACTATATTCCCGAATATGTGCGAGAAGTGGTGGCGGGGCCAGGCTGCTCTGCCGACCTCAAAGGTCTCGGCGTCTCTTGTCATATCGTGCAGGAGTCTTCCCATCTGCGTGGAAATCTGCTATTGTTGTAGCGATATTTAAGAAAGGACAACGCTCCCAAGCTGTTAATTACAGGCCCATCTCCCTCCTACCAACTATATCCAAGGTCTGTGAACGCATCTTCTATGAAGCTCTCTACCACCATGTCACCCCTGCCCTCTCCTCTGCATAATCCGGCTTCTGTCGTGGCGACTCAACTACTTTGCAATTGACACGCTTAATCCAGGATATTTACGGACATCGTAACCTGAAGAAGCATGTAGGTCTTGTCTTTTTCGATCTGTCAAAAGCGTTCGATACAGTCTGGCATCGAGGCCTACTTGCAAAGCTTGAGTACATTTTTCTAGTACGTGGTACAGCTCTGCAGTGGCTGTCGTCATATTTGTCGTCCCGTCATCAAACTGTCCGTGTCTCTGCTTCCTTGTCCGATCCTTTACCTGTAGTGTCTGGTGTTCCACAGGGGTCCATACTGGGTCCACTCCTTTTCCTAACTTATGTGAACGATCTGCCCTCTCTTGTTCCAGACGTCAGCCTTTTTGCTGATGACACTGCACTGTTGTGCTCTGACAGCTCGCCGTCCAACCTCGTTACCTCCATGCAGACCGGCATTAACTCCACCCCCATAGCATGGATGGAAGCTTGGAAGCTGAGGCCCAACATCGCGAAGACCGAAGCAATGTTCATCAGCCCATCGCCGCCTACTCAGCCGTTGCACTTTCCAGGAGCCAATGCTAACGTTAAAATTGTTCATGAACACAAACACCTTGGTGTTATATTCGACAGCCATATGTCCTGGTCCCCACAGGTCCAGTCAGTATGCAAGCGAGCTAGCTCCTCCCTTGGCATATTGCAACCTCACTGCCACCATTTAAATGACCATTGCCGAAAATTGTTCTTTACGTCGTATATTCTACCTATATTTGATTACTGTGACACAGCGTGGTGCGGTCTGTCTCAGGCCCTTGTTCAAACTCTGGAAATACACCAGCGTCTGCTTCTAAAAATCCTGTTTCGCAAAAATCAAACATTCTCCTCCCAACGTCTCTACAGTTTAGCTTCAGTATCTCCCCTCTTAGAGCGACACCAGCAACATCTTTGCATCCTTGTACACATGATCTTATTAGACCTGGACCCAAAACACTTTGCTAAGTATAACTGGTTTGTGTCCACCAGATCAACACGTCATTCCTTCTCATTACCCCGTGCCAATACCTCCCTGTTTCTGAAATCTCCTATCTTCTCTGCGTACACTCTCTGGTCTTCCCTGCCAACTAGCCTCAAAGCATGCACAGACATTAAGGAGTTCAAGCTTCAGCTTCTTCGTGCTAAATAATCTCACCATTTTCGTCATGCCTCCCCTTGCAGTACTCTCTTTGTTTCTCTCCTTATTATTCAGTTCGCCGTAGTTGGCTACCACCCGACTTCTCATATATATTGGCAGTCTTCTGACGAGCCAGGAGATGTTGAATTAATAATAATAATAATAATAATAATAACTGATATTCACCAAAAACGTCACAGTACATTCGAGATCAGAAAAAACTCTACATATATTATGACATCAGACACTGGACTAGACATATATTACGACATCAGACACTGGAGCCTCCATATATTATGACATCAGACACTGGATTCTACATATATCATGACATCAGACACTGGACTCTACATATATTATGACATCAGACACTGGACTCTACATATATTATGACATCAGACACTGGACCCTACATATATCATGACATCAGACACTGGACTCTACGACACAAGAACCAAACACAACAACGTGCGTAAATGATAGTCGAACGGAATTTCGCAACATTAGGGCCATCCCCGGATGTCATGGTTCCACGCCGGCCATATTGAATGTCACACAGAGTGGATTTAACTACTGCATGAATCTCGTCTATGGTTCTTTTCCATGCTACTTGACATAACCAAAGGATCGCACGACCAAAAGGTGGACACTTGCCAAATAATGTCAACATTCCTTTTCAACAACGAAAGTATGTTTGGGAGAATGAAGTTGAAGCCACCACTGCAGCTGTACTTA